AAAAAACAAAAAAGGCTAAGCATGCAGCTCAGAGGGAAGCCTTGAGTTCATTCCCCTTTCCCACCCAGAAAAAAATTCAGATCTTTGCTGAGAACTGTTAACCATTCTTCTTTCCTTCTTTAAAAAACACCTAGATAATAAACAAGATATTGATAGATTATAATGAGAACACTGCTGTCAGTCATATGAGGGAAAGGTAATAAAATCATGGATGCCAACCCTGACACTACTGAGCCAATAAAAGTAGCCATCTTCTCTCAGCCTTATGGCAGAAAAAATAATCTCATGACTGATACTGTGAGACAGGTATTGTGCTATATGCAGCCAATGATCCATAACTGTTTAAACAGTATGTCTTCTTTTGCATAACAATCCCAAGGCCCATAATTTTATTTCTGGGGTACATTAAATAGTAACTTTCAAAAAAAATAAAACAGACGAGGAACAAATGATTGCCTTCTAGTTTTAATCCCTCTGAATTTTCTTCTCACTAAAGAAAAGATGGTTGCTTTCTCAGGTGGTGCACTAGTGTCTGCAGCTTTCCTGGTCTGACAGTGTATGCTGATGATTCTTCAAGCTTTCTGGAGTCCTAGTTATTGCTTCACTCCCATAGACCCACTGTGCAGTGCACAGCCTCTACAGTAGGGCTCTGACTCTGTGGCAGACTTCTTTCTGTCTGGCCTCCTAGGCTTTCCTTTGGGATCTGCCATTTCCTTTGCAAACTGCCACTGTACTCTGCATACCTACAGAACGAGCACCAGATGGATGCTACCAAGGTCTGCTGCTGGCAAGGACCAGTACCTGGACCTGCTTGAATCATGGCTGCAGCACCTGCAGAGCACTTCATCAGAAAGCAAGAATCCCAAGGTGTTCCTCCACAGCAAGCATGTGGAGGTGCTCAAGGCCTTTTCCTGAAATCGTTCTGCCCTCAGAAGACAGTTGGGCCTGTGATAGAAAAGGCAATTTCATGGATTTCTGAGATGCTCTTTGGGCCTCTTTCTTACTGTGTCTTGATGCAAAGCAGCTGGCTCCCTTTGATCCGGACTAATCTTACTCTCAAGCAGTAGCTCAGCTATACTGTTACTTGGTCACTGTTTCCCTGTCACAATGCAAATTTTCAAAAATCTTTTTGCTCTATTTCCATTTGCTCCCGTGTCTCACTGTAAATCTGACTAAAAACAGCCAATAATACATATGCTGAAGACTGCTGTACTGCTTTAAATTTTTTTTCAACCACCTTTCTTAAATTAGGCCTTCCTTACAACTCTAGGATGTAGGCACAATATAGTCAAGTTCGCTCCTCAATTTTCTCTATCAGCCCATTACTAATGAAATACTATCCAAGACTGAGCACTGAAGGCTCAATGGTATGGAATCAACAGTGGCTCTCCTCTGGGGAGGATTCATGGCATTGCAGTGCCAGGAAGTGGACGTGAGAAGGAAGAGATAATATGGCAAGACAGGAAGCCAGAGTCTTGTTCTTTTTAAATAACAACTCACTCTCTGGAGGACTAACTGCAGACTCTGGAGCTGTCATTCCTTTCCTAGGGCAACACGTCACATGACTTCTCTAAGCTCATCACCTCTTAACATTACCACACTAGAGACCAACCTTCCAATACATGAAGTTTTGGGAGTGAAACCACTGCAGCTAATACAATTTGTTTTTGTTCCATGTTTTCAAAAGAAACTTCTCTGAAAGTACTCCAATTATTGGCTCTAGGTAATGAATAGAATGTTATGGTTTTCAGTAGCGTAAGTAAGAGTCAAATAAATATTAATACATAACTTCTGTGACACCAAAATTATATAGAGGGTAATACCCCAAAGCAACTTCTATAGAAAAGTATTTGCAGCATTACAGTGTAGATATTTTTAAATATTTAAATTGAAGAGCCTCAGTGAAAACATTTTGCTCTGATATATTAAAAATGATTAATCAAAATGTTTCTTCTGGAATTTGAGAGGATATTCTAATCAAGCTGGATTATGGGCAAGGGGAAGGTCCTGTGAATTCTTAGTTTGATCCTGAGGATTTGTTTATTTCTTGAAAATTAATACCATTCTGTCTTGGTAATCAGTACAAGTAATAATGTATCCAAACAAGCTCTAGTATTAACTGGGAACTTTATCTGCTTTTCAGTGTTCTTCACACTCTGATGAAAACAAAATCATGATAGAAACCACAGACGAATGCTGAGCAAATGTTAGACCATTGATACTATCAGAATGCAAATATTGTTTTAATATATACAGTACTAGTATAGCCAAACACTTTAAGATAGGAAGTAGAGGAAAAGCTGAATATTAGTCATTCACTTGGACATAATGTTGGAGTCTGTATGCTAAGGGAGGTAACTATAGTAAAATACCTCTTGGCCTGGGATAAGATCCCAAGAATTATAGCCAAAAAATGAGAATATAGGCTAGAATATCATCTTGTCTCAAATACTCAAGCATTAGTTCAGGACTATTGGCACCCTTAGCACCTAATAGAAGAAAATGAAGCTCCTAAGAACATTATCCAATGCTTCAAATTATTTCTATAATTTGTTTTCAAATAAAATGAATACCAATCAAAGATAATGGATGCAAAGAATCAAGTGTGAGTCAGCATCAGCAGAAACAATAGACAAATGAAAGACTATAAACATAGTCTGAAAATACTATCCTCACTATATTCATGGAAGAAAACGTCAAGCTTCTAAATTTTGTCAATTTGGAATTAAGTGACATTTAAGATTTGAAAAGGAATGACACAAGAATTATAAACTAAAAGATATAATAAAAGTTAAAAACTATAGATGAGGGCCAGGGATTTAGCTCAGTGGCGCACTGCCTGGCAAGCCCAAGGCCCCAAGTTCGATTACTATGGGGGGCGGGCTATAGAATAACTCCAGAGCTGACTAGGCACAACTAAAGAGAATGCACGATGGCAAGTTAAGCAATCCACAATGAAGAAAGGTGACACAAATTGAAGGTCACACAGGAAATCTGAAGGATAAGAGTGGGGGAGGGCTGATGTTTACTGAAGTTACCGAAATGGAAAAGAGAATAAGGGAAGAAATGACATATAAAAACATCATAGTCTAAAATTCCTCAGAATTGATTAGCTATTAATCTGTAATTTAAGAAATACAATGAAGTACAAACAGGTTTTTTTTTTTTAAATAAAAGGAATTTACTTTTTGCCTCATCCCAGAACTGAAATGCATAGATGGAATGGATATGTTTGAGTTGCAGTGTAAATGGTACTTTACATTTAGAAAATCCTATAAGTCTAAAAGCTTTCACAAACATCTATTGTCTGAAATATATTTTTGTCTAAGTTTTGAGGTTGTTAAACAGGGTATATCTTCGGATAAATAAGGACGCACAATAGCCAGCGAAAGGGTAGCCACTCCCATTCTATCCCGCCCTTCGCGGGAATGCGTGCACACACATACAGGCTTACGCGAGCACACACGTACACACGTGCCCACACGTCTGCCACACATACGCACCACGTATGAGAGAGTAGTTGACAAGATATGCGACTTCTCTGTCCCCTCATGCTACTTAGAGCTACAGCTGCCAAGTTTCTGAGCAGCGGTCAAACGGACTTGATGCGGGTGGGGTCCCACGACCCCTTTTCAAAGATATTAAACTCCGCTCTTCTCCAAATCCATTTGAGGAGAATCTGAAAAAGGAGTGCTTGCGAAAAACAGCCCTGTAATTGTCAACCAGTTGGTTGACCTTGGTGAGAAGGACCCGTGAGGGGTCCAGAAGTCCGGATGGGCGTTTCCTGCCCGCTCCCAGCAGGCGCCCAATTAATTTGGTGCCTGAACAACTGTCCAGCCCATATGGAGCTGAAGGCCCTCAGTACCCAAAGAGCTCCAGGTCGCCTAATTTTCTTGGTTTAGCTTTCCCACAAAAGCGTGGTCACACCAAAAACTTTTTCCACAAACACAGAACGTTTCTCCAACTTTTTCCACAGCCTCGCTTATCCCGCCCTCCCCGGACACAATTTATGTTTCTCAGGAGTGGGCTTAGTCGGAACAGCAATTTTGCGAAACAGCCGGAACGAAGCAGTCTGTTTTACCCAGACACACAGAGGAGAAAAGACTGTAAAACCCTAGCCTCGCTCGGGTTTGCCTGGTGCTAAAAAGAGAAAAAGAAAAAAAGGCGGGAGGGGGCCGGTTGCCGCGCGAAGTATGCTGGGATGAGTAGTTCACGCCGGGCGCAGGGTTTGAACGCAATACTGGTTAGCTCCTGTAGGGGACTACCGTTCCCGCCGTGCCTCGGGGCAGAGTGGAAGGGGCGGAGAGAGAAGGAATGTCTTGCTTGCGCAGGTTCAGGAGACTGAGGGAGGCGGAGGCGCAAAGGTCCAAGTGTTGAAGTCTCCATGTGACAGTGAGCGGGGTCCCCTCTCCAAGCACCACTCGACTGTGGGTCGCGGCCGCACGGACCGTGCACTGTTCCAGTTCTGACACAGACCAGCAGGCCGGGGACAGCTGGTGTTGCTGTGCGGCCGCCGAACTAGTGCAGACCGAGTCGCCGCAGCCAAGGAGTATTCCGGGGACCTGGCGGAGAGAAGCGGAGCGGCTCGGCGAGCGGGGATTTCTGTCAGCGCCGGCTCTCCTGAGCACCTAGGCATGAACGGTTTCACGCCGGAGGA